CACACACACACACACACACACACACACACACACACACACACACACACTTTCCTCTTCCCTCCCCAGCCTAACCTAGAGCACATTCTTTTATGGAGAGAAGGAACAAACACTGAGATTAGAAGGCGAATTTGTGCTCCCGGTGACAACTGGGAAAAAACAAAAAACAACAACCAGAATCCCAGAAACAATTGGTCCCTCTTTCATCTCTATCACTCTCAGAATCTGTCTCCCAACCTCAGTTATTCTTTGGTTTCATCATGCAAGTACGCGGTGCACTGTGGGCAAGGCAGTCAATAAAAAACGAAAATGGCAAAAATGAATACATCTGCAGCTGCTGTGCATGCTTGGAGATGGTTTACGATCTACTTCGATGTGGTGAAATGAATGATGTTATGTGGTTTAACATCCGCATGATGAGTGTTCATGGAAATAATCTCTAAAGCTTCTTATCTTTCACAGTTTTAAAAACACCTGCAGTATCCAATTTTATGTTTCCAATCATAAAATAAATTCTGTATGTAGATCAGTCTATTGGCTCAAAAGCTAAGCATGATTCCCAATAAATGTTCTCAGCACAGAGCAACAGAGTAACATTGGAGCAGTTTTTTCCTCTGGCAACTGCTCCCATTATTTAAAAGCAACAAGTCCACTCCTGGGTTTATAGTGAAAAAGCATCAGAGTTGCTGTCACTCTGGAACTTGACCAGGGGAATGTGGAGGAAATGGGCACGCAAATCTATCATTAGACAGTGTAGGAGAGAAAGCTTAGGGCATAAACAGAGTCTTAATAAGCATCGGAAATCAGCAAGAGGAAGGAGAAAAGAAAAAGGGGGAGGCGAGAGCGTGAGAGGATATATTAGCGAGACAGAAAGAGAAAAATATGCCTCATCTTATTTCTTATAAGGTAAGCGCCACAGTAATTTGTTTGATTTTATTAACCAAAACATCAGAAGGACGCAAACACAAATGTCCCCTTCAACACCATCCCCACAACCAGCCCTCTATCACTGTTTTCTACAAACAAATCTCTCATCTGTTATATCATTTTGCAACACTGCGTTCCCCTTTTTATCCATCCATTCTATGGCTCACTGTACAAACAAAGCATTTTTTACAGCTGGCTTCTCTGGCTGCCTCCCAGCCCTCTTACACAACACTGTGCTCATTCATGTCTCGACTATCAGTAAATACATTTTTCAAATTTTAGAGGGCAAGAAGGTGTTTTTATATTTGCACTCACATTCTCTAAAAAAAACAATATAAAGGTTCAGGGTTATAAAATGAATCAACATGAGATTCAAGAAGGATTTCTCTCCCTTGTCTTTTTAAATCATGTGTCTTGAAAAATGAAGCACAAATTGACATTAATTGAACCAAATAAAAACAGAAATAGAGAACCGAATTATAAATATTGAAAATTTTTTTTTTTTACAATATTTCCATATCAAACAAACAAACACTTTCTTAAACCTCCTTACCAGTCAACCACATGTACATTACGTCCATTAAAACCCAACAGCATGACGCTTTATAGCAAGCACTGAAAACTCTGTCTCTCTCTGCCTGTTAAGTGTGTTTTTAGTGTGGTCATTTATACCTTTGAAATTAAATGGAGGATATATGGTTACATGCAAATGATGTGATGTTAACACAATGTTCAACGATGCATGTGTAACGAGAATGCCTAACTGTTTTCCAGAAAAGCTGACGGAGCAACTAATTAATTACATGTTGAACATGTATTTAATCAGACTGCTTGGTAAAAAGGTGGGATGAACAAAATAAAGAAGTACATACTGGTTAACGACTGGGGTGTAAGCTGTCCGGTCCTCATCGATTACTGAAACCATGAGAGTGATGAGTTTTGGCCAGAAGTCCAGGTTCTTTATAGACGGACCCTGCTCCTCTCGGGGAATGTCCTGTTTCCGGCTCTACAGAGAATGAAATAAGGATGGTGAGAGTCCGAAGACAAATTGATGTTCAAAGTTTAAGGGCACTGAAAACAATAAAAACCAAAGAACTGAACAAACTTATAATGACACATGGTTAGCAGACTTCAACTGAGCCTAAATCATCCAATCATCCATTTTATTGCTGTCAGTCTCACTATAAATATTGTTCTGCTGTTTGCTATTGATAATGCAAACTGAACATTGCCTACTGCAACAAGTTAACAATAAAAGGTGTTTTTTATTGGGAGGCGGTCACAGAGAAAACATGTCTTTATCTTGTCCACGAAACAAGACATAGTCATTTTCTGCATTTGTTTTTTACAGGGAATTTGTTTTGCATATTGCAGGGAGTAATAGAACAATAAGGCACAGTGAGCTGCTAGAGGATGAGCTGCAGGCTGTAAACCTCCTCAGCGTGGTAACCAACTACGATCACTGTGCCCTGCTGCTGTGTGGAACACTCCTCCCGCCATGCGCAGTGTAAAATCAGATAGTGATCGCTCACGGCCATGATAGAAAAGGCAAATTATCAACTGAGCTCTTCATTACAACAATGTGAGTTTGCTTGTCTTGCATGGGAAACAGATACATCGAACACAAAATCTTTAGGATCACAACTTTAAAGTTTTAAAAGCGTAATCACCCTCCGTTATGTGCTTATGTAGATGTGAGTGTGTGTCAAAGTGTGTTGCAGAAATCTCTGTGTGGCTGTACCTTGGTGAAAGGTGTTAAATATGAAACCTCACACTGAGATCTACCATCTGCTCACCCCACACTGAGTGCAACCACACTGATCTGCGGTCAGCACCTAACTGTCACAGTCATTCACTCTGCTATGAAAAGGTTCCACAGAAAACAAGCAGAAAACACAAAGCTGAGTGCACATACTGCAACACACTCAGCCATACTGACAGCTCTGTATTATACACAGACACGACAACATGCAAACACACCCGCGCTTATGCTTATGCTCACCGACTGTATGACTGTGCACTATGGGGACATACCCCTCCCAAGAGGATGCGATACACATTCTCTCACTTGTGTGTGTAGTTCTAGTTTAAAGCAAAATCTATGCTTGATGTATGTTGGTGAAAATAAAATTGTGTTAAAAATGAAATATGTTCCAATCAGTTATTGAATAATTTAGGTTGAATTATTTAACGGCCTGAAGCCAATTGACTTGTGTGCAGCACGGAGAGGAGATGTTTTAGTGAGAGCTTGGGAAATGGAAATGCAACTCTAGTCAATTCATCATTGATCCAATCCTCACAACCTAATCAAATCCTACAATAATCAAATTATGCCTCATGACGTTGATTCTTCTTTTGTTTGATATCTGGTGATGCAAGGCGGACGTTTAAGCTGGAGGAGCTACAGATTTTAATCTCACAGGAACAAGAAACGCAGACACGGCTTACAACTGATTCTGTGACAGTCAGTCATGTCAACCCAGCGTTCCCTACTTCAATCATTTGGGGTTGAGACTGCAGAAGTTAAGTCATCGAGTGTGCCATGGTCATAAAAACAGATTACTCCTCATTCCATGGGAGGTTCCATCCCAGGCATCATATTGATCAAAGGCTCATTTTGCATATGCACTAGTGTTTAATACATAGCAAGAAATTAAAAATGCACTGCTGTTCAATGTGGAGGCAACAGGGAGCTTTATATGTAGCAGAATCAAAGACCGTGTTGGGACATTCAAATGAAGCTGGATGCATGTTAACCTTGTAGTTCACAAACCCAGTAGAGTAGATTGCATCATCTACAGTACGCACTGCTAGAACTGGTAAAGAATGGCTGAGAGGCAAAACAACATTGCTTGGTGTCATCATAAATTAAGGCAAGCAGCATCTGAGACACATTTGTTTGGTCCATTGACCATGAAATTCAAAATATTGAAAGGTTAATTAACAAGTGATTACTAAAGAATATGAGCGATGCATGAGTTTAGATCAAAGCTATAAGAAATAGGCCTGCAATCCATTTTGGCTCCTAACCCATAGTTAATGACTTCAAAGAAGAAGGCCTGGCCTGGTTTGAGAGACCTGGGCCATCAGGGGGAGATATGCTCCTACAAGATACATATGTGTTCAATTGGAAGCATGATATAATGAAGCAACTATCTCTGCAGGAGGTGACTCAGCTATGCAAAACCTGTCTGTGGGTGTATCATAGCTGTATGCATGTATGAAGGACAGTGAAGGTTGGGTCATCCCTATTAAATGGGATGCAGTATGCATCCTGCTAAAACATCTCCCTTTGCTCATCTGTATTCACCTCAAGTAGGTACAAACACATTGTTAAAGGTGATAAAGTAGCTTACTGTCTTTTTACAGTCAACAACACACCCATGGGCTTCACTCTCAGCTGTACTAGGGGATGAATACTGTACTGAACTCAACGCGCAATGTAGTTTCACTATACTTCCAGTGCATAATGGTGGTGGGGGAACCTGCAGACACATTCATAGCTGTGTATCACTCCTCCAGAGGGGTAGCTAGTGGTTTATGTTTATTGCTTAGCACTTTCAGACCCTGTGTGGGAGGAATCAGCATTACCATATCACTGGCTCCTCATCAATTCTCACAATGTGACACAAATTACAGAGTCTATGATTGAAAGATGTTTGTGGAGAATGTGATCAAATTCCCAAGGGAGAAAGAGCTGTGGGTAGAACCGAAGCTGTTGCAATGCATTTTAACGCCCAGAGAAAATAGGTCGAATGTGTAACTATTGGGGAAAAAAAATAAACTCAAAGGCACACATTCTGAAAACAAACAATGTGTTCGTCAACCATTTGGGTATTGTTGGCAAATATGTGATAATGTCCATTAGCGAGATACCTATCAAATCAATTTGAATCACTTGCTCAGTAACACGTAGCGTAGTCTTCTAGATCCTCTGTGGCTCGTCTCACAAACAGGCACACTGGGTCCCTGCTTCTGCACGCCTGTCAACATTCACCAACCTCCCTCCTCCAAACCAGACTGCTTCTATTCATCTGTCCACTTATACGTTAGTATTTGCATAATACATAAGAATGTGTGCATATACGTGTTCATTTATCATAGATGTATGTGCATGCTACAAGGCATTTCTGGTCTGTGTACCATCATTTGCCCATCCACATTCATTCCCAGTGGATGAGCCAGAAAGAAAATATGGTCCTTTTTTCCCTTTGCCCTCTTTCCATTTACGTCTTGCTTTTCAAATTCGTACTTTCCCTGCCAGGATTAAAGAAACGGTTAAGCCAGATTCTCCCTGTCCTTCCTCCTCCCAGTCATTTTACGCCTAAGCGGAGGCAGAAAGCTTTGTTGTTTGTTACGCAAGATGCCTCGTTGGAGCTTGGAAATTTCACTGCCTGCCTGGCCACCGTGTCAGCTCTTGTGTCGCAGCACTCAGTCACTGTTAGCAACTGGAGAATTAGGGTCTGAAATGTGTTCCATCCGCTGAGTCACAGGCTACCTAGTGTATGTGAACATAATGACTTAGAGTCACAGTGAGGTGTGCTCTGGAATGTAGTTGATGTCTATTTCTTCTGCCTTGGAGGAAACAATGATAGAGAGGCTGTCAATTGTGAAACTGTGGTGGACGAAGATGTAATTAGGGAAAGTGTCTATCTCTCTGGTTTGGTAATTGCTTACAACCCCTCAGGCTGTTTGAACAAAGAAAGCTTATTTTTCAACTTTTGAGCGGATTGCAGACATTATCTTCTGAGGTGGGGAGGCCATTCTCCTTGGGAAGTAAACCGGAAAAATAATTCGGTGGAACTGCCTGTTGCCTGATTATTTACTCAGGCGAGGCCAAAGCAAGTAAACTAGCCAATGAAAATCCCCATGTGTTTGGAAAAGCAAACTATAACTGATGACTGGATGATGCTGTGTCTCCTGAAAATAAAAACAAGTGACTCTATGAGCTTTTAAAATGAGGACATGCCTTCAGCTGCTCGTGGCATGCTCGTCCTTACACGAGGAGGCAGTACGGCAGCATACTTTCATCCCGGTTTATTGACATCGTTCACATTGACACTTATTTTTTGTGTTCATAAAGTACAACATTATCCATTGTGACTCTTGAGAGCCAAAAGTGCCTTAAACAGATGAGATAGTGATTTGAGTCAGGTAAGTGCTGCCTGAGGCTTGGCTGCTTTTATATGACTCTTCACTGCAGACTCTCTGTTTCTTAGAAGGTTGAACGCCTTCACGCAGAGTTTGCAACAGACACGGTGAACATTTTTATTGTCTGGTTAATGTCAGTCATGACATATAGCCTATTGATTTTTAGCCATGTTGAATTGAATTATTCCCGGCATTGTCACACATCAACACAAAGGACACTAAAGATGAAAAGGGATGTGATTTTTGTGACAGGATGAAGGTGATACGTGATGAAAGCATGATGTGAGTTCCAGAAGCTGGTAGGAAATTTAAGAAATTTGTGTTTTTACCTCGATTTACTGACAAATTAATTGGAGTGGCCCCAAAGTAGTAACTCTATTTGATATTATTGTAATGACTTTTAAAAAACTACCAGTAATTAAATGCAATTTTTTCCAGGTATTCTACATAAATTTATGTAAGCTACATCATTTAGCTCACAGCTCACTTTTTGCAGTGATGCATGTAGTACGTTCATGAAGACTCCATTAAGGGTGAGTTATCTGGTTAGTGTTGCCTATCTGCCTGGCTAAGTACCAGATGTTGAGTTTGTAGATTTGTAGATTGTGTAATTACATAAATCAGCAGAGCAGGTATATTGTCAGCTGCTTTCATTTAAGTTTAGCAGCTCTTGCTCCAACTGTGTTTACTCATAAAATCCAGTTAACATTCAGCAACATCAAACAAATGTGCCTAAATTGTGATAGTCTTTGCCAGTATCCTGTGTGTACTATCCATTCAAAAATAAATCCTCTTGTTAGAAATATACTTTTTATAATATTTTGCTAAGTCCTGGTTTATGGCTTTCAACCCAGGGAAGTCGTAACAACAACAACCGTAATGAAAGAAACAAAAGAACACTAAAGCTGAACAGATGGCAGACACATCCAATACTAAAACAGGAGTGAACAAATGCAACATTTTTACAATTACAGTTTTCATTTCTATTCAGCTTTTCAACATTTGGAGCAAGATGCACAAAGGTTGCTTCAGCCACAGACAAGACAATGTTTTTTAATAGGCACTGGGACAGGACTTTGGCCAAATAAAACAATATACCAATCTTCAAGGCAAGAAACAGCAGCAGAGTTTACCTCCCTGTTCTTCTCTAAGAAAATACAATGACTATCTGATTACTGGTGTGATTAGAAAGTAAGCGGGGGAGAAGGAAGTAATTGCGTCAAGGGTTTAGCTGACCAACGAGCCAATTACCAACAAGCAGCCGGCGCAGCCAAAGAAGGCGATGATTCCGAAGCTGAGAGGCACGGAGCTGGTCCGGCGCGAGAGCCATGCGGCAGGCCTTATTTTGATTAGACTCTAACACTATCCACATGTCATAACTGACACCTTACGCTCTTTGTCATCATTTTAACACAAATGTCTTTGTTGTTGATTTCACTAGCCTTGAGGGTTTCAAAACCCATGATAACTAAATCCAAGTGAGAACTCGACAAGCGTTGAAATGACACATTGTTTAGTGTGTGCGTCACTACATCTGCTAGATGCTAATGTGAGGAATACACAGATCTCAAAATGTGGCACTTATTCACATTTTGAATGGTCTATGAATTTGCTGAGAAGCTATTGGTACCTGTGCAACAGCAGAGGTCTGCCTTTAATAAGCTATGAAGGTTGATTAGTAGTGATAGTCACAAGGATCTGGAAACAGTTTACCTGGTCAAGGAGTTGGTTGTACAGTTCATGACAGTTATCAAAAATGTATTTGTATGTGGAGTCCAGACACGCCTTCACGCAGTCCTTCACCACCATACTGGCTCTTGGTGGACTCTGGAGCTCTTGTACCTGCGCACACACACATAAATACACGCACATCATTACAATGTTTGGTGTTGTCCTGAGTCTCATAGCAATTTATACTATAATAAATCATCCAATAACTATATATACGATGTTAGACACCCAAATCAATGACAGTTGCTGTGTCTTAAATTGATTTCTATGTGGAGGACCATCCATCAGTGAAGTGATAACTTAATGCTATCATATTACAAGTACATGAAGTATTAATCCCAAGATATCACTTCCTTGTGGAAAAGGGGCAGCCTTCTTACATCCATTATGTATCATAATTGACATGTGGCCAGACTGTAAATGTGCAGTATTTCGTATAGTAACACCGTAGCTCCTGTGTGTGAGCAGCTGTGCATATACTGTACATAGTGCAGTGCAGCATGGGCACGGGACAGAGTGAAAGCATTGGTAACTTAAAGTGACAGATTTCATTCCTTTGCTCATAGCTGCCATCTGAGCTTTGCTTCAGTGCACCAGCGCTACACCCCCACTCACGCAAAAACAGAGCTGAATGGAGCCGAGCCCTTCATATAGCGGAGCACGTCAAGACGTACTGTTGGGGGAGAGGGAGGAAGAGGAAACAAGACAGAGCTGGACACCTTTTAAACACACAGGCTAACTGCAGTGTGCAGGTCAACACACGTTACACAAACATGACCCCATTGCATCAGCCTGCAGTCAAGAAAATGGTTAAGCCATAAGTTAGTTGGATTTGAACGGCCAGTGGTGTTGAGAGGGACAGGTTTCAGGAGTTATGAGCTTGAATCGATTTAACCTAAACGATACATGCCTGAAATCAATGTGGGTTTATGTTTTTAATTGAATGTTGTGAGATTTCACAGGCATGGCCAGTATTGAAGGAGACTCAGTCACTCAGTCGATGCACTGCTGTGATAAAAGGTTATAGATGATATCTGCAAAGGATAGCGTTGTGCTCCATCATCATTTATTACAATGCTTATGTTCAATTCCTCTTAATTCGAGTGCCAAACTCCCCCATCGCCTATCAAATTGTACTCCCTGCCCATACAACCTACACATTCTCTCACACACGCATACACACACGCTACCTTCATCCTGAAGAAGGTGATGCTGGTCAGCAGATCAACAGTGGACTTGAGATCTTGCAGACGCTCTGGGTTTCCTGCAGGGAAATTATCCTGGAGTAAGAAAGAGAGAGGGGACAATAACATGAGGAGACATCTTGTTGAAAACAGCCTTGTAACGTCACACACCCCCATCCACCACATCACATTGCTTAGCCCGAAAACATTGAAATTGATTCCAGAACAATGCCCAGCAATCATACCGAAATGAATGTATGTCTAATCGTTTAGTGGACAAGGGAGTTCTCTGCTGATGAAAACCTCTATTTCGGGGCCATGAAGTCATCAGGCAGTGCGGAAAACCGTGACGGGGAGCATATAAAGCCCTGGAAGCAGTGAGGAAAGGCATCACTGCCCCATACATTATACTACTTCTCCTACATTCTCAGTGCTCTAATACAAATTTTGCTTGTTTTCCATCCCTCCTCTACCTTGTCAATAAATGCACAATGGGGATGCAGGAAGTACAGCCAAATCCTCACAGCAGCCTGTAGGTGTGACAGCACAAGCACAGGAGAGGTCTATCTGAGATCAAGGCCGATCAGCGGAAAGCAAAACCCGCCCGACATCTTTTCGAGCAGCATAGAGGTTTCTATTGGGTTGATAAATGATTCAAGATGACCGCTTTTAGAAGAAGAAGCAAAAAACCGAAAACACAATCGAACGCAACCCGGACAGTGGTCTCAAAAAGAACAGAATGTGGATGGCCTGTTAATACCTTACAGACAGTCAGCTGTCCACTTAAAGTGCATTTCTCAAGACCTGTGATTAATAGGAGTCAAATTTAGAGGCGAAAGTGTAGTCCCCAGTAAGGATGAAAAGCCTCCAGGAAAACAAGCTTGACACACATTCTGCACAAGCAAATGTGGACCAGTTATATTTGGCTTCTGAAGGGGGCAAAAAAGAAAAGAAAATCTGTTGGGAGCAGGCTTTTTTTTCACTCCACTAAATGCAGTTTGCATCACTTGCTTTTGTACAATATATTGAGTATTTCATCATTTGTTCCTTAGTTTAAATTTTAAATGTTATTTAAGAAGATTGCGTATCCTGTCTCAGCAGACTCCTTTTAATGTAAATCCTTCAATTACAATCAAAGAAAATTATTTTCCTGCTTCTGCTGCACAAGTCTCATTCACAGAATGGAGCCCATCAGTGCTATCAGTTACTACCCTTTCTCTCTCTGCTGACATAGAACTTTCTTTCACAATATCATCACATACATGTAACCTTCAGATAAAAGTGAGACCATCAGTCTCTTTGAAACATGGACTCTGTAGCTTTCGATGCAACCTTGAATGTCGCCATTAGTACACCTCCTGAAACCACTGTTGCTGGAACAGTTACGACAACAGCTCAAAATGTGTTTTATCTGTTTGCTTTGGTTGTAGGAATTGCAACTTGTATAGGATGAAGCCAAATGAGAGTGCGCTTCGCTGCTAAACAGTAATTTCGAAAAATAAATCTACGGTAATTCGCTAAGACCAACACTCCTCAAGTACGATCAAACCAACATGTGCTTTCTTGCTTTTCCAAAACAGGCATTAACACCTTTATCTAGGAGAGGAAAATCACCAATGAACAAGCTGAAATTGCACAGAAAAAAAAATGCAATTTCCACTACTGTCAGTCTGCCTTTCAGTGATAGTGGAAGTCTGATCCATTGAGTCTACTGGTTTTTAAATGAAATGATGATTAAAATTGCACACTAAATCATATTTTATATCATATTTTTACATTTAAATGAAGAAAAAAGGGGAGCATTTTGAATCAGTTAATTTGTGGATTCTGACATAGGAAGGGAATCTAGCTGTGCAATTATGGTGATTGAAGTCCCGGAGAATCAAGTGCTTATTGACACTCATTATGTTTGCTGCAAAGGAAGTAGGTGGGTTCTTCACAAAAACCAAATCTCTACATGCAAAATGTTATGATCACAGCTACCAATCTAATTTGGCATTCGATGTCCTGTTTTGATTGCAGATAGCAAGGGTACACAAAAAATGCATTCATTATAGACTATATCTGTGTGAAGCAGGGAACAACTTAATAGGATTTATCTAAATTACAATCACAGCTTCAGGCGGGGAACTAAGTGTGGGATGTTTATATACCGGTAGCTTAAAAAGGTAAGGCAAGTTATCGTTGAACAGCACCTTATCAAATACAGAGGTCATTCAAAGTGCTTTAAAAAAAGACAGATAGAAGAATAAAACAAAACAGTAACAAAATAAAACAGCATGTACTTGAGAAGTGGTACAAAGTACAGATACTGTGGATTTTTTTAATTTAGCTTCTTACTGTTGCTGACCAACATAAAACAAATGATAAATACAGTACATTACTTTACAATTACTGATGTTACACACAGATGCAAACCTCTTTCTCTGCAGAAACCCTGCTCTCAATGTTCAGTGTTTCTAAAAGCAGGGACAGCGGTGTAAATAACTTTGCCGAACTTTAACAAATGCTCTGTCTGAATACACAAAGACCAGAAAAGAGAAACTCCAACTTCATCAGCAAAAAGAACAAAGGAAAAATAATCAGATGTATTGCCAAGAAGCAAGCAAGCATACTAAGAAAGCAAAGCATCCATCTCTGAGCCAAAAGTATAGACAACATCAGCTCTGCCTTCTAAAAATGACAGAAAGTTCATTATGCGATGGGACGAGGAGTGAGTGATGCTGATGGGCTTTTAGTTCTTTGTGTTTGTTCTAGTGTACATTGAATATTATGTTGGGCCAGTGCAAAACTGAAAAGCAGTGACTGCTTATCATCAAAAAAAAGGTATATATATATATATATATATATATATACAGTACACACTACACGCTTCATAATTACCATGTATGAATATCCCTGTGATTTAACATTTAATATTTTTACAAGACCCGACTAATGGTTGAAAAAGTTGCTTGTCAGACACCGGGCAACAAGTGGATCATGTGAAGGTAATTATGTGGAAAAAGAGATCAAAAGCAGTCATGCTCTGACGGGTACTGGACCTCAAACTGCCATAGGGACACTGCACTGTTCACCCTGCACTCTGACCATCCTGAGCAAAGGCATATGCCACAGAGCATGTGTCTGTGTGTGGATGAGTGTCTATTGAAGTTAAAAGGTATAAATAGATTACTTAAAGCTGGGGTAAGCAGTATATTTTTGGCATCATTGGGCAAAAATTCCATAATAACCTTTCAGCACTGTAATTCAAGTGGCCCGAGAGAACTTCTGCACCTCCTAGAGTTAGGTTTTCTTTAGAAAAGGTTTTCTTTAGAAAATAGCCCATGACAGCAGACTTTGGCCAATCCCAGGTAATTTCAGAGAGAGGGTGTTCCTATTGGCTGTCCTACAAATGCAGATATGAGTGCACATCCCTTTGGTGAAAGCCTCATTCAATGGCAGAATATCAGGAAAAGTTACTATTCCAGCATCGGCAACAACTGCCCATAACGCTAAGTAACGCAAAGAAGTAAGACGGACTTATATTTTAGCCTTTTGCTCATGGCTGTGGTTAGCCTTAGTGGAGAACTTCTGCATTGCGATCAGCAGAGGGCTAAACTATTAGCAACTATTAACTAGTGCTTGCATATGGCCGCGCTCGTCTGGTTCGGAGGGGCTTAGGACAGGATGGGGAGAGCTGGAGTATGATAAACTTTGATATCCTTAAAGTTTATTATGGAATTTCCCCCAAAAAACGCCCAAAATAAACAGCCGAACACAGCAGTAATGGGTATACATTTGAGATGTTTTGTTAGAAAGGGACATATCCTAAGCTCCTTTATGTGATGCTTTAGTAGCTCCATTAACAGCTCAATGTTGCTGAATATAACACAATCTGGCTGTAGAAAGCCACAGGTACAGTAACTATTTTCTTTTCGTTTTACTGGAGGAGGCAGCCGGAGCTACTGCATCATAGGAAGCAACAAAGCAGGTGTTTGCATTAAGTAACCTTTTCTTTAAAGGCCCACAGTAATGCTGCACAGAGTTACATTTTACGATAATATCCCTGGGGAGCTTACTGAACAAACATCACTTTATATCAAACTGTCCAAACTAAGCCAACAAACCACATCCCCCGCAGTGTGCTCTGAATACTGAGATACTACGTCCGAACCGGAGAAACCTGCAAATCCCAGCTGGGACAAACTGGCTATGCAAGGTGTCACTTGTATCAGGGCTATTGGAATAAAGTTTACAAGGAAGAAACGCATATGTTGCAAAATGTAAAGTGGCAGGTGCAACCCGGCTCCCTCTCTGCTGATTCAAGCCCCCTGTTTTACAAAAGCAAACTCAATCTCCCTCAGAATGTCATTATAGTGAAATCCATACGGTGAACGGACGAAGTAGCAAGATCTGAATCGTATTACTGTCCAATAGTGGCAGGCCGGCTCTGTGGGACGGCTTCAGAGAGTGAGAGAGTGAAAGAGAGAGTATGAACTGTGTGCATGAACCACTGGTCTGTGGCAGGCTTGACAAGAGAGCAGCAGGGCAGCACTGGCAGGTGAAGCCAATGTGATATTCTGTGACTGCCCTCATCGCCAGACAGCCAGGCCATCTGAAAATAAAAGAGGTCATCTCTCCTTCACTTAACCCTCTGTTGCCCAACCACCATGCCTCCTTTCATTCCTCGTCTGTTTCTCCTCTCCCTTTCCAAATCGATCTCTCTTTCCCTCCAACTCGCTCCCTCTTTGTCCAAATCCCATCTCGTCCAACTCCCTCTCTGCTTAACGTTTTCTTTTCCAAATCCTCTTTATCCCTCACCCGTTATTTGCCAGTCCATTCTCTGTCTAACTCAAGTCCTCTCTCTTTCATGCTATCTACTTGCTGTCCTTCTCTCATCCTCTCTTTTATCTGTGAGGATCTATCTATATGCTGTCAGGGTGTGTCTCTGTAATCACACGTGGCTTCACACAGAGAGCCGTGGTAAAGAACAGGGGAATAATAGCAATAACACACTTCACGTCACATTGTCTTTTGTGTCACATTAAAGGGGAGAGGGTCATCCTTCAGTTGCAGTTCACCGTGCAATGCCACCAGCAGGGGAGAAGAGGTGTGTGTGTGGCTGCTCAGGTGCATACCTGCGTGCGAGTCAGTGAGCAGTTGTAGCTAAACAGCAGTGTGGATGTCTGCTCGTTTGTGAGGGAGTGTGTGCGAGCGAGAGATGTGTGGGTTTGTGTGCCTGTGAATGTGTGGTGGTGTGTGGTGTCTTAACAGGTTTAGCCCTCCTGGGGTGGCTCCGGAAGATTATGTGCTGTATGTCAGGATTTCAATCTGCCTGAGTAGAATACAGAGGACCTTTAGTGGCCTGCAAGTGGCAGCAATACCAGCAATTAGAGATGCATTTCTGATTGCAAGATCCCAGTTTGTTCATTTTACAGTTGTTGGGAGATGTTTATTCTAAGGTACATGTTTGATTGGTGCTTCTTTGTCATTTATTTTGGGTTAGGGAGGGGTAAGAATGTTGAAGAATGAAATCACTATTCATTAGTGGGTCATTTAATAAAATGTGCAAGGGTGATGTTGTACAAAAACTTCATCATGTTTTTTTGTTCATCCTAATTTAACTTAATTCTATACTTTTTAAAATGTGATAAGCTTTTTAGTTATGTATAATTTTAGTTACTATATGTATGTCATTGTATAATAAACAATGTGTAAATACAACACAAATATGCAGAGACAATGTAGCGCTGAGCAGAAAACAGGACATGTCATGCGAGACTGAGCCATATAGCAGAGCTTCGTGGACACATGTAGCCTACTGAAGCATGAAATGGTGACCTTCAATAATTTACATCAAAGATGGCTGAAACAAGCCAAGCAGAAAATTCTCTATATAGAAAACTTAGCAATGCAGCTACCAGACATGGCCTGCTGCCCATCATTCTGTGACAATCACCAAACAAATGACCATGAAGAATGATCGTCATACAACAAAAAGTTCTTCAAGTGAGACTGACTCAGTAGGGGATGAAACATCACTACACCCATTTACATAGACATTTTATTACCAGCATTTATGTACTGTAATTTCACCAGTTCAACACTGCCATGGAGACTTCAAAAATGACTGTACCACTTTGACCTGGTTGATCACCTGGTAGAGAGTCCTTAGCAGCGTGTATGCTGCATGTCGCCCCATTCTCTCCGACAAAATTGCATTAGCTTGTACAGGTAGCTATAGGTATATTAGGTCATTTGCCTTTTTTCTAAATGAGGCCATTGATAAAAACTGAACAAACATGATTGTTTCATTAATATAGTCCACAGGATGGAAAGAAGCTGTGACAAATTATTTTGAAACGTGATCTTTGTTGTATATATCAGTAATAGCCAACACCAAATCAATCTCCAGATGCTATAGCCTACATAGAAATGTGGAAGCACATGGTCCAGTTTATGGGTGTATGGATACACGATGTCCAATATCCTAAATGCATGAACCACCATGGCAGACTGCTGGACACTCACGACAGAGTCTATTTATTGGACCATGGGGAACACTATTTCCTGAGATGCTGATGAACCACTAGACACTGTAGGCTGATTATTGATATTTAAGTGCTTGGCTTCTCTCTGCTGAAAACTGCAAATACACTGCAGAGTCATTCATCATTCTGTTAATTCAATTTGATTCATTCATATGAGGTTTTGTTTTTTAAACAACAATGTATGACATGATATCTGTCTGGGTATATATGTATCTATCTGCAATTTCTGCTTTTCACAAATCACACTTTTCACAAATCTTCCTTCATTATCACATCTTGAAACCACAAATAGACTTCAAAGCCATATATTGTTAATACTATGTGAACATGAGTGTGGCACATGTGACATTATCAAATGTCACGGTATGACACCATCACACCTACGACATTTACCTTGTCTTAATCCCGATATTTACCACACCTTAACGCCCGGCATTAATGTGCCTGCTGTGTGACAACATTGTGGGATTCAAACAAGGCAAGCATGCATAAAATACACTCTGAACTGTATCCAAGAAAGAAGAGAATCCAGTCAATAATCACATTTGGAGCGCGACAGACACAAAGTGTAAAGGGATTGCTGCTCCAAGCCAGATATAGTAAGCACACAGTGTACTGTATACAGTTCAATCAACCCTGAAGCCGATCAAATCAACCAAATTGCAGGTACCTTAGATAGTAACACTTCTGTTTACAGTAGAGTACATTTTAAAGGATGCAAATGATAAACAGGCTATACTAAATGGCAACCTGAATTTTCCCAAAAACAGGAGAATTGTTCCTGCTCCTCCTGTCTATATCTAAATACTATCAATATAGATTTATGGTGAATTTTAACATCATACTGTAAAAATGATCATTATTTTGAATTGACACAAGTCACAGAAAACAAACACACCAGACGCAAAAGTTCATACATACCCGATATTTAGAAAGGTCAATCCTTAGTGAGTTATGCAGCTGGTCCAGTAATTTGACAAATTTTTCCCTCTGTCAGGATGAAAAATTCCATAATTCAGTTCAAAGTGTCCCCACACACAAAGCGATGTGTCTAAAAATGTTTAAAACTGCGTGGTCTGTAGCATTGTTTGCTTGCAGTGACTCATTTTTACTTCCTGGAACAACATGTAGGGGTTTAGCAATATTGCCAGACTCGGCTTACTGCCTGGAAATATTATTTTATGATGTACAGCATTAGCTTATTAAAAGTTCAATCGGAAAGCACTGGCAACCTCTGAGATCTGGTTGATTTCAAATGCACAACTTGTTTTAAACAAATAACTCTTAATGAGATTGATGACAAAAAGGGTTTAATATCAGACTCTAAGACAGCAATAGATGTTACTTAAGTCTACCTGGATGTCTGCGGATGTTAGACTACAAGACAATAATAGGTGTGCTTACCCCAAAGTTAGAGGCAGCAAATCGGTCAGAAGCGGAGGCAGTGGTTGTGGTGGTGGTGGTTGTGTGGGCGAAGTAGGAATTGATATTAGCAAGCAGGTTGCTCATCACTGCTGGCACACCGGGACACATGTATTTGGCGGACAGACAGGAGAAGTGCCTACAGAGGAGAAGAGACAGCTATTATTCCACGTAGCACAGGGGGCACTGCTGTAGCCATTTTTGGACAATGTCGGATCATTTCTCGACCAAAGATCAACAGACAATCTTGTGAAAAAATAGGGACAGTGACAGATACCACATCAACGACACAATTCCAGACAGAGAACATTTTAAAGACTTGCTCTTCAGCAATCCTCATAATCAACAAAGTTACACAGCACTGAAATAGAACATGGTTTAGAATCAAGAAGCATTTCCCTCAACATATAGAGCTAAAAAAAAAACATCCTAAACCGTGCTTCTGTCCATTGTTTTACAGTTACCAAGATAAACAGAAAGTGAGCAGACTTACTGAAGTACAGTATTTCTCGATTATTTTCACTGACTGACTGCTGAAGAGAGAAGATATTTTGAACGTTCCAAACAATTACTTCTGATGGAAGAGTTAATGGATAAGTAGTTCACTGCTCCGTTCATGGACTGTAATCGTGTCTTCAGCGACTATCTATAGCCAATGATGTCATAAATCACAGCTGTATGACCTATACTATTAAGGACATAAGGCTGCAAAGTAATAGATGGAGCGAGTAAGTTTGATCAAGGGATCCGATGTGATATAATCCCTTCCAAGGGGAACAGAAGAGAGAAATGTAAATCTTACTGCGTACCATTTAACTTATTTGTTTGTTGTACACTTACCGAGGTAAGTGTTTTCCACTGAGGTGAATCCACATGTGTCAAGAGAGCATAAACTAAATCTCAATACTATGCAGTGTACTAAAATAACACAAGGGATCTTTCCCAGGGGAGGGACTGAAGCAGGCGCATCTTACTGTTGAAAACTTAGCGTCTTCTGTTTAGATACATCTTGTTTCCTTTTCTCTTGTCTCCAGAGCTCTTTTAACTTCCTGAACTTTAAACTTTACACAATGAGACAGGCTCATATATTGCCACTTCAGATTTGTGATGATCTTTCACTTTCTTTCCTTGCACACACACACACACACACACACACACAAATACACGCACACGCACACAAACACACATCTGCAACAGCTCCACCCAGTAGTAATTAAGTGCTGGAGCCAGAGAGGCCTGGTTTGAGCATGGATCCCTGCCTGAGTGAAAAGCATACGCTCCTGCTTCACAAGCCATGCAGAATACCTCCCTCAATATAAATCACTGGTATCTACAGTCAACATAAAGACTGGCTGCCATCTCGAAACACATTCATACAGCAGACAAAGGATCATGTTATTCTAGATAGAATACTTTATGCAACAATGTGAGTGTGCAATAATCTGTATGTTTACTTTGATGCAGCTGACAAAAATGTATACTGGGGCTTTTTTCCCAGCCTCTGGCGAGACCCGTAGCAACCAAACATATGGGTGCATTGGATGCTTTGCCCGAGAGCTTGAAGCCAGCTGAGCTTTAGAAATATAGCATTTGTTAACATAATACAAAAAGAAGAATATTGATATTATTCACACCTTCACTTTCAGATACTGCAAACTGAAATTAGTTTTTGGATAATATAACTAAGCATTTACTTTATAATATATATATTAATCGTAAGAGAAATTTGTGTTATCAACATGTTTTTTTTATAAATAGTTTTATATATCACAAATTAAAGGTGACCACTAGTATTGTGAAGCTGGAGAACAGAGATTTTGAAACTAAGAACACCCTGCACAGTGAGTCATTGCTTCATACAGCCAAAGTGTTGGAAAAGGCACCACATTATGGGAAGTAATGATTACAGATTTACTCCCCTTCCTGAGTGCAGCCCAAGCACACACACACATACGCGCACACGCTCACAAATAGAAACACAAACATGTTCTCATCAGGAGGCCTATTTAATTACTTTGCTTTCAGCCTCCAAATTACCCAGGAGCACTTGGGGTTAGGCGAGCAAAGAGAGTGATGCAAAGAGAGTGATGATGGCATCCGCTGAATTCCCATGGTGCTTTTAGAGCTCGATCTCCTGAGCCAATTTTCAAGAGGAAGACGTTGCTTCTCCTCGTGTTACCCTGCCTTGGTTTTTACCAGCAGATGAGACGCACTACGCACAAACTCACATCTCATTTTACAACTTCAGATGGCTGGGAGAAATGAGAAAAAAGGATTATGAGAAATAGGATGGTGGGATGTGAAGGTGGTAGGGAGTGGTGATAGAGTGAGATGAAGAAAAACGAACATGAGTGAGTGATATGTTGGGAGTTGTTGTGTGGGGCACAGGAGGGATAGTTGTGTCTTTGCAGCTACTGTGATTTATGTAGCCATCATGTCAGGAGTGGCTGGGAGTCAAGGATCTATGATGAAAAAAACGGAAAGGTAGGGCCTTTCATAAATTCCTGATGAAGCATAATAAGCGCTTCAATGAGAAACTCCAAGCTTAAACAAGGTTCAAGCCTGAGGCATTACCTCAACCTGAGAAAGCTGGTAATAAGGCAACTTACTGCCTCACTTGTCTGCACTTAAATAACCCTGCAATCCCTCATATGCCATAATACCCTGTCACACTGACACAACCGTCTGTCACCTGGCACAGTTTACAACACCAAAACAATCAATTGTGTCAACCCTTACATATAACGCTTAATACGTGTCGTTATTGTAGCAGTTCCACTCCTCACTTTTGTGGACACAATGGCGATGGGGCAAAGAACAGATCTAGAAACAGCTAAATCAAGCTTTACAGGGCTCAAAAAACAACAACCCAATGGCACGTCTGCCTTACAGGGCCATTAGGAAGATCAAGAAAGCATCTGATGTGGGACATATGAGGTTGAGTCATAATAATCACTGCGATCAGAAAAGTGTGAGAGGAGGGGCCGGGGGATCATACATGCCTGGGGTCTTTTGGAAAAAAATCAGAAACAGGATAAAGTCAGGGTAATGGTAGCTAGTCATCCAAAAACCTTCTGAAGGAACCTTGGGTCTCACTTTGCTGCGGAAAATTAAAAAAATAGCAAGAGTATTTTATGTTGTCATTTGTATTTTAACATATATATTTAGCTAATTATATCAAGACCATTAAAAGCGACACGATTCGTCAGTGATTCTTCATCTAACTGATACGTTCAGCCAGATTTCTGGACATGAAAGTCAAATGTGAGCTGTGACTTTCATTCAATTTGCCAACACAATCTGTGTGTAATTAGAGCCTGATTTACGAAGGCAGCAGCTAATTACATAGTCTGCTTCTGGGACTGCCCAACAAGCCTATTCTGAAGGGCAAGCAGAACCTAAAAGGTGCAGTTTGGTGATTCAAATTGACATTTTTAGACTGACTCAGACTCACTAACAATTAAAACTTACTAATGCAAACAATGAACAAGGGATAAAAGGTGTAATCCAAAACTGCTATACCTGTTTACTAACATATCTGTATTTGGATTTCTACCAAAAGTGGGCAGGGCTTCGCCCAACAATGTTTTCATACTCCTACTTTAACTGCACTAAAAATATACAAAATACAACATAATATTTCAACCGTGTACCTAAATTAGTTAAATTATAAAGCATGATTTATATAAAACGTCTATATAAAAACTGAGTTACTGTTAATTATTAGTGGGAATAGAAGGGGACTTTTGGTAGTTAATAACAAGTTAGAATTGGAATCAGAGGTTACATATATAACAAAGGGAGAACCAGATGAATAAAAGCTTGGTCTCAAGTGTTTATGATAAAAGTGAGAAGGCTCTCTTAGTCTTTTTGAATGCACTTTTGACTCGGTCCCCACAATGACTTCCAAGTAACATCAACAAAATACAATTTCAGAATGACTTTTGAAAATGGTGCCATTGCTGTATTTCATGACCAATTTAGTGAGACCGTTTGAAGCTCAAGTTCAATAACCACACGGCCACAACTGCTCGTAACCGCAACCGTTACATTGTGGCAACACTATACAATGTAACATGGCTTGAATTTTGGCTTGATCAATATTCAGTGATTTTTAATGTTCCAGGTGGTGGACAGGGTCACAGACGATCAAAGAGACAGACAGAGAGAGGGAAACGAGACTGTTTATGTGTGTCCATGATCAATGTGACCTGGGCAGGCTGGGAGTTTTTCCAAGGGACCAGAAATGAATCAATTAAACTTAGGAGCTCGATTGTCCTCCAAAGCTCTGATTCTGCTGAGGAGACATTTTTACTACTTCTCGTCTCCTTCTGCTCTTCTTTTTCTCATCTCCTCGCCTCCACTCTGCCGGATGGGACAATGACAGATTGGTGAGGTAAAAGGCCATAGATCAGGGTGGTACTCACGTCATAGCCTGATAGATAGACTCCACTCCGTATCGCATGGCAAACTCATCCACTATCTCCTGAGACACGTCGTCAAAGTAGACCTTCCACGCCTCGTCCCCTTTCACCTGTGGGATCTTCACCACCCCGCTGTTCTTCACCTCGGTCAGGCAGTGGAACAGGTTCTGCGAGTGGCACGAGAGATAAGACAGAAGAGGTTACGGTGATGGAGCACAGAGTCACAACAAGTAACAGCAAACAAAGACCCTTATGGTGACATCTTTTTTTTTTTTTTTTTACAATGCTCTAACTATTGATTGTTGGAAAATCCTGTTAGTTTGCTTTCCGATGTAATCACAAAACAATAATTAGTTTTCTTTAGCAGCTGCCTTCGCAGACTTAATGCTTAGCTTCCCAAAGACAATGATTGGAGTTGAGTGAGAACTAATTTTGCCTAATGCTGAATCGCATGATGATGGTTACCTCATGTAAACAGGTGTATTGGCCATGAGGAGGAACCACATTCTCCTCCCCTTTCATTTCCACGCTGATCTTGAGTCTGATGGCACCAGATACCGCAGACTTGTCAGTCCTTTTATCTGTAATACACAACCAAGCTGAGTTAGCCATACAGGGAACATAACTGAAGAGTAACTATACCAATTACAAGCGGAATTTTAGGTAGGTTAGGCAAAATGTGACTACCTGAATCCACAGAAACTATCATATCAAAGTGAAGTTTTTGCTCACATTTTAAACTCCACAATCTCTATTCCGAGACTTACAGTAGCATCTCGTTATCTGTATCCTGGATGATATAGCACAACACTAAGCACCAGAAAGAGCAGCTTGGACTGCCAGTCTCTTGTTCTGTCTCTGTACAGGTTTCTAAATCGTGTGTCACAAGTTTGGCATTACATTTTTCCTCATAATAGCTGGAGCAAGTGAAAGACCTATTAAAAGAATATTTTCGAAAAGTTTTATTCCATTCAGTTCAGCTCTTGCACAAACGGACTAACCCCAGTCAGTGAAAGACTGTACAATTCAATAAACAACATTGTTGTCCACCTCGATAGAAAGCGCACAACATAAAACACAAATTACGTCATATCTTCGCTCGCAGCCATGCAATTTTAATGTATGAGAAAACACTTGCATTTGCAATATCACTGGCTATAATGCAGTATATGAGCACGTCTCTTGCATGCTCATATATAGCCCCAAACATACACAGCCTCAAAGATGCAGGCTTACACATTCCTGACAGGTCTGAGAGCTGATGACTCCACAGCTGCTGGGGTTTGTTACAGACTATAAATGCCTCCCCTCTGTGCTTTCATTTACAATTCATCTCTATCGTATTAAATGAGGGAAATTTCCCCCTACTGTCAGTTGGTCTAGAGACAGATGATTAAAAAATAATAAAGTGACAAAGCGACAGAGACTAGCGTTGTAAACGCAACAGCCCAGATTGAAGAGGAGCTGAAGAGGCTTAGAGAGGAGATCAGCTGGAAGGGTGGACACCCACAACAGCAAAGGGCTGTTTAAACATTTATTGTGGACATTTAAAAAGGCAGAGAGCAGCAGCAGCGGTCAGGGGTCACAATTACCACAAAGTGCATCCTTTTAGCTAGAGAGGCAAACAAAGACAGCACCAGCCAGCCATAATACTTGAACAGAAGTGGGAGCTTGCATTATGTTGCGCATTCAACCTCATGTCACATGGAGATACTGGTGATATTTGAGAGTGGAAACAATGAAGGGCTCTGCATCAACAGCAGCAGCACCAAAACTAAACCAAAGGTCTGTGTGGCTTCTTGGTACATGGATAGTAATGGTGACCTCAATTGGACCACATTGTATCTTCCTGTTTAATGGCTACATTACAACGAGATTGTGTAGAGAAAGGTATAAAGAGTTTAAATGAACAGAAACCTTGTGAAATGTGTTGCAATCATAACAATGGTAACTAGGGAACTTTTCTTAGTGTCAACCCTGATGTGTCTAAAAAATGAAATTTGGAAACTGTCAAGTAGGGCTGCAATAATTAGTCAATGATAATTAATCACACAAAACGAGCAAATTGAAGACATCATGAATGCAACTTTTTTTTTTTTAATCATACTTTTGCCAGTCTAAGACAAAGCTCTTGTGTGGCTGCATTCAGACAACATTAGACATTTAAGAGGGTTGGCTACAAAAAAAGAGTTCAGTTGTTTTGGTATCAATCCCACAACTGCTGCGAGATCAAATGGGTAACATACCTAGATTGTACCAAACGTCCATCTCTCCACTCAGAGTGCGAACCTCGATGATGGTCTGTCCCAGGAAATCGTCTGACTCACGCTTGAAATGCTGCTTCACCCTTGATTTAATGTCATCATCCTCGTCCCACACACGCACCTTGATGCGGTCAGTGGCGTTGTGACATTCACTGTGATTTGGAAGATGATTATGTCGGGTCAAAACAATCACAACAACATGAACAACATCAGCAGCGGCTTATTCGGTGACAGCTCATCAGGCTGGGGTATTCAGTAGAGCAGAATGACAGTCAAATGCATGAATACAAGTTCAGACACCTCTTTGATCCCTTGGACACATATGGAGAACAATTCTTGCCTAGATTCGAATAAAAAAATGTGTGTATTTGTGTATGCATGTGAGTGTGTATGAGTGAGTGTGTATGCTTAGCATGTGTATGTGGAGGAGGGCTCTCTGCCTGGAAGGAGGATTTACCACAAGACATTGCATGACTTTTACTCTGCATCTATATATTCTTACTCCCAATGCATACTAATATCATCAGAGAAGAGCTGAGCGTTTCACAAGAGTGACTGCATATCATAGCATGGATTATATATTTGTTTGTGAAAGTCCGCTTCTTTGCATCAGTGCAGCTGACAGACGTTTCGCAATAATGACTCTGCTAAATAGAACAGAGGTGGCCAAAGCACTTAGCTTCAGATGGGGTCAGACTCTTCGGCTCTGGAATTAAAACCGACGGATTACATTTTGTTCTAATGACATCTTGGGTGCAACATCCAGAGAAACAGTATCTGTAGTATTGTGTTTGAACTAATCCCTTTCCGGGGGAAGCACTTGCTGCTGCTGCTGCTCCACTTGTCCAGTACTTTGCTCTCTGCCAAGCACACAGTAATGCATCACTCTATTAATCTACACCCTGGTCATAATGGGAAAGAGCCACCGCTGGAGGCACATTACAGGTGTGGAGCCTTGTTTAGCCTTGAGATAGGACATGTACATACGTACACATGCCCACACACACACACACACACACACACACACACACACATATATATATGTCTATATATAGAGAATCTCAGGAGCATATACAAAATACAATAAAAGAAAAGAATAGTCTACGTATTTACTAAAGCTTTAAGATTCCCTTGAACAGATGAGTCTTAATCTTAGTGGGGATTGTCTGGTCGGATACAGGTCAAATTAGTTGCACTCACAAGTTGAACTTCTCATCCCAGATCGGGTTCAGGTTGCCGAAGATGGTCTTCGTCCTGCGTTTGGTCTTGCCCACCTGGACGGTGACGTAAGGGTCGCTAGAGCCAGTCTTATCCTTGGCCTGTAAACCCTGTGCACTCATCACTGGAGACAAGACAGGGTTGAAAAGAGTAAATAGTACTGTAAATATCATAAGCAACATATGTGACCACCTTCAGGATTTCATACACCTTCAAGTTACTTATCCTGAAATTAAACTCACTCACTACTTATACTGATCTACAGCTTATTTCACTCAATTCACAGCGGCATATTATTTTGGAAGTCAAAAACAGAAAGCAACAGTTACTCAAAATCCCAGTCGTTACATTACATTACAGTCATTTAGCAGACGCTTTTATCCAAAGAGACTTTCAATCCAGATTCTATCACATTTCTACACCGTAGGCACAGCTACGGGAGCAATTGTGGGGGTTAAGTGTCTTGCTCAAGGACACATCGACATGCGACTAGTAGAGCCGGAGCCGGGGATCAAACCGCCGACCCTCTGATTGAAGGACGGCCCTGCTCTCCACTTAGCCCCAGTCATGCATCTACCTCTATATTTTATTTTAGTGCTTACTAATCAGTTTCCTGAATTTTATTTATTTGATTCTACGGCGTCAACTCAAGAATTGAGGGCTTGTTAGTGCCATACAGCAACTTTATGCACTTGCCAAAAGCTGAGGCAACTAAGCAGCTCTTTGGTTCATTGGCAGCAGCCACATTTAATATTCTTGTGTTTATGTGACATATTAATTATATCTATGATTTATATTTTCCAACATCCAGGCTATAGGTAGATCCCATCCATGTGTGCCGGCCCACGGCTACAATGTGTCTATGCTGCGCTAAAGCTAAGATTTTGAATCTTACTTACACATTCACACACACACACACACACACATCTACACACCTACACACACACACACACACACGCACGCACAGACACAGGAAGGTGCAGAGGAGAGACAGTAGTATTTCACAGCGCCATAAAAGGGAAAAAGGACACTGAGGTATTAAATATGCATAAGTGACAGTCTAAATAATTCAGGGTACATATACATCCCTCAGCTCAATGCTGACAGAAGTTGGTGGGAAGGATATAGAGGCTTGAAGAGCCATGGCCTCCCTGCTCCAGGAGTACTGGAAATCAAATGGCTCCTGTAGTTAAAGCGACAAACATATAGAGGGGTATGTATGCTTCAAAACAAACAAAATGCTTGTTATTTCATCCAGCGGCATCTAAAATCCCCGCCCTCACACCTTTCTATGTCGGAGCGCAGAGGCTGCAGTCCACAATTTTTGTCCCATTCTGAAATCGACAATCCCACATTCTCTACCAGATGTGCAGAGTTGAAAAAGTAAGAATGCAGCTACCTCTGTCACATATCCGATTTACAAACATGAGCACAATTATCCCCAAGATTATCCCTGCCCCACTCCTCTGTATGTATGGAGGCCAGCTGTTTGACCTGCCTTCAAGTGTGGCTTCATTTTGCACATCCCCCTTAAATAGAATAAACTGGGAAGAGAGTTGGGGTTTGATAGCATTTTGAATCTGCTTATCAAATTAGAATCCTTTTGAATCCTTTACTGAGTCTGTTTGGGTTTAGGTTTTCACAATTTTAAGCAACAAAAGTCAGATATAGCTTTCAAAGAATTGAAAATTCCTGCAAAGTTTACATGACTGCCTATTAGTACAAAAGCTGAGAAAAGGACAAGATTTCTCTTGATTTCAGAAGAGTAGAGTGACAAAGAGGGCATACCCAGAGGTATAAACAGATTGTGGTATGAAGAGTGGCAACTGAACAGAGAAAAGGACTACATGTTTTTCCATTTTATACATAAAATGTCTGTTGCGGTGAGTTTGAGCAAGGCTTTCATTAAACAGTGAACTAATTGTTCAAAGAGAATTTAAGTAGGAAAATAGTATTATGTAATATACTCATACTCCTTATTGCACGTTTGTTTGATAATGATGTGATCAGTGCATTGGCAGGTATTAGCAGAGATGTTCTAATTAGCATAACATCGTATACAGTATATGATCAAGGTTCACATTCACTGCCAAACCTGGTAATGTGCACATTAGCCAGAAACAGAATATCTCATGGTCGCTGTAAGAGTGCTGCAGAGTCAATGTCAGTCTGTATTTATCGAATGAATGAGACGTAAACAACAACTCAATAACTATATTTTAAAATTGGACGTTCAATAAGCCTGTGAGAAATTGATCAAGGCAACCCTGGGTCTTCTTAATGTCTCTCTCAATCCTATTTGCCTCTCTCTCTCTCTCTCTCTCTCTCTCTCTCTCTCTCTCTCTCTCTCGCTCTCTTCTTTCTTCTTCTCTTCCTCTCTTAGAGTCCTCTTCCTTGCTATTCCTAACCTTTCCATCTCACTCTATATTTGTCTCCCTCCCTCTCTGTTTCTATGTCTCTCCAGTGTATTGACACTGTGAGAAATGCAAGGTGAGCAATAAATGAGCTGGGCCTGGCACAGTTACCACAGAGATAGATTGGACTCCAGGTGTTGAGGTTACAAAGCTAACTTCCTGACCTTCTTTCTGCCAGTTATGACCAGGAATAAAATGAAACCCAGTGATTAAGTGATAATCATGTACATATGTATGTAAATGAGGTAGTGGAATGAAAAGAAGAGCCTTGTAATCCTCAAGGATGATTATTCTTTTTAGGTTTATGGTCTTCAGAAACAGGGACAAACAACAGAGGTTATATAATCAGAGTGTGAAAATAGTGGCAGAAATTAGACTGACATATGGGATTCAGATCTACTCCCTTTTACTAAGAGGGAGAGTAAACAAAGACAAGAGCGGTTAGGTGAGAAAAGGGAGAACAGCTGTTCTATAATGCAACTAGCCATTATTTTATCAAATTTCTACCAAAAGAGATGCATACTGTACAAGCACAAAAAAAAAAGCTTTGGAGGGTTCATTTCCAAAGTACACCGTACAAATCAGCATGGTAGTGAGCTCAAACACAATATCTCTGTCAGTTGCAGCAAGTACTCCGCAGTAATAATAAGTCACCATCGCCTCTTTATTACTGCCTCTCAGGTGCTTTGTATTTACCGTGCCACCATTTAACATTTGGCAAGCATTGTTGCAATCTCCCACTGCTCAACGTATATCTTGTTTTCATTAGAGCTGCATGTCATGGACTGAGCTCCTATTCAAAATTCACATGTTATTAAAAATATGTACTTGTCTAGGTGCATGAGTAGATAGCAGATGAGTCTACACGTTCGTGTCCTGGTTTCAAAGTCTCCACATGATAACCAAAAAATCATCAGCTGTTTAAACAATGACGCATTAGCAACCATCACAGCATTATCAACAAATGACTTCTCCACAAAATACATGATCAATTTCCATTTCTATTTTCAATTAAATATGCATTGCTTGATTGTGGTTCAGTGTCGGAGGTTAATGACCAAGAGCTTGAGGTTAATGACAAGTAAATACTAATTATAATAACAATGTTTGTCATTCCAGATGGGCCTGACTTGTAATGGCAGTTTTGTTGATTTGGCAACGGAGGACTGAGCAAAGGGTTACAGGTCATGGACCAAAGGTCAAAGGTCACCTGCAGCAGTATCAGGACGTTTATCAGGACATTTCTAAGCTAAGATACATCATCAAAATTTGAGCAGATGGTTTGAAGATGAACTTTCTGATGAAACTACAGGAACAATGCTAACCTGTGATGTTGATTTTGGCAGACCACTTGGAGGTCCCATCCAGAACAGCCTGCTTGGCTGTCTTCAGGTGGCTGGTGAAGTCTTCTTTGGAGACATGGAACATCTCCTGGATCACCTCAAACACTTCAGGAGTGTTCTTCTCCCTTATCTTCATGCGCTCCTTCATAGCCATGATGATGTTCTGGGTCTTGTCCTCCGCCCCGTGCTTGGAGCTCTTCTCCACTGCCCCTAAAACAAGCCAAAGTTTAGTGTTTCCGCTCAGTAGTCTGCATGTTTAATACCCAAGAATTGCTCGAAAAACTGGTGTAAAAACTGGTCTAATATGTGCCACTATGACCTTGAGTGAGTGTGTTTGGATGTTGGGCAATCACAAATTCCCACTTTAGTGTTGAGTTTCTTTATGTGAATGTGTGTCTGTACGATAAAAGAGACACAAACAGCGGTTCATTCCCCGTATCTGATCACAGTATTATGTATCTAGAGTGTGTTCATGAGTGCAGATCGAAATGTGATAAAGATTAATCTTTTTAACTATGAGACATTGTAATGCTGGTATAAAACCGTAATAAAACATTGAATTTTATAAAGGCCAGAGTGTAGCTAATCCACTTGGAGTGTGTGAGGATTGCCTTGGGGTTCATTCTTGAAGCCGGCATGTCACATCGTTCCTCTGTGACTACACAGTAACAACAGGGGTGTGCCTGATTGAAAAAGCTGATTGGGTACTGTAATGAGCAGCGTAAATGCACCATGATACTTGTAGCAACAAGTGCAAGAGGATATCTAATATGTATTACACAAATCCCCGTAACAGCATTCACATATACTGTAGGACTTACAGAATAGTGCTGTTATTTATAGAGATGTGGTAGATGAAGTATAACACTAGCATCGTGGGCACTTTACAGATTTCCAGACAAACCATGACCTGAGAGTAAACTGATTTTAAAACTTATAGAGCAGTTGTTTGATTATTAGCGAGCCGTGCAAAAAATGGAAGTAAATAGTAAGATAAGACTGTCAGATCATGAAAATTAACATTAAGCATAAGAATGCAACTTATTTTTAATGCATTTTCAAATTTCCCCCCCCCCCCTCTCCGTCTCACACACAAACTACATGCACCCATGTAGCACTGTACTCACAAAGGCATGTTTGTAAGAACATAGCTATGGGCTTTAAAGTCTTTGTGAACTGTGCATCAAAGCATTATGGGATGGATCTACTTTCTTACTTTGTAAACAATCTGCATTGAGCAGGTCCTGGCACTTCTCGTGGCATTTAACGCCGCACTCTGAGCAGCGCATGCCCTGACGTGCGATGCCCCACAGCAGCCCCTCGCACTCATGGCAGTAGGTGGGTGCAGTCGCCGTCCACACCTCAAAATTGTGGGGTGTTGTGGATGAAATCGGGTAGATCAAGGCCTGGAGAGTCTTCTTGAAGACATGTTGTTTCTGAAAAGAAAGAAAAGCCATTGAGAGATTGTGAAAAATAATATAAGGTATGGAGAAAATGATAGACAAGGAAAATATACGTGGTCGCAAAAAACAGAGGAGGTATCCTAGTAATAACTTCAAAAGTTAATAAAAACAACTCTACTTAAATAGATTTTCAGGAACATCCAATACATCTTGAGACCAGCAATAAAAAAGAGGAATACTTTTGCACCTGCTGAGGGACCACAATATAGACTAATATCATTGCAGAAAGTTTAACAGAGACAGCTTTTGCCGGCTCAGTTCAATTTGATCTTAATAGCATGAAATTTACAATACACTTCTGCATCCTAGTAATATTTATTATATGTATGAGTTGTCGAAACAGCAGCTATCATTCATCAGTACAGGAGCATTTTTCAACTTTTGTTGTTAGAGAAAGCGATCCAACAGATTACTTTATTCCAAGAGATAACACGTTGGAGGCTTTGTTGATCCTTTTCTGATTACCTTATCACCGACGGAGAGGTCAGCTGTATGAGAGTAAATCAGCCTTACATCTCATTCAGCTTAGATTAACAGCATCCTTAGCCCACAGGTTTTGTTCACATTGAGTGGTTACTGAATAAAGCTCCTACAGACCAAATACTAAAGTCTTCTCGAGGCCTGTCTAGACTGATTGCTGTGTAACAGAAACCTCCTCAAATTGAGTGCTTTACTGCAGCAGCCCTGCCATCCACAAGGGCTGGAAAACGGGCCGGGACTTGCCAATTCTTGAAGGCAGAATCAATGGATGCTGTAAATAAGGTTTTTAAAAGTGAGCATTATCCAGATTGAGAGAGAGAGAGAGAGAGAGAGAGAGAGAGAGAGAGAGAGAGAGAGCAAGCGAGAGAGAAAGCGACAGAGGAAGAGAAGAAGATGTATGGTGGTTAAATAAATCCCCAAGAGGTACTTGCTCTCTACTTCTATTGCGCTCCGCTCCTCACCCCTTCTCCTCCCCCCCCTCTGCTGTCAGCCCCCTGTGTGTTGACAATGGGCGTTAACACCTGAACAGTAGCTCTGCACTTTACCACGAAGACTACTGCACCGCTCACTGGAACACACTTACAGACACAAATACACACACACATACACTTGCAGAGATGATTAAATGACACCAGATGACAGGACAACAAGGCAATCTAACATTGCAAACCTCCGTTGATGCTACAGAGAGGCTGCTGAGTCCTAGAGGACCTTTAATGAAACAGAGCAGGGAGACAGAGAGATTTTGCTTTTAATCTGAGAACGACGAGATGAAGCAGATGTGTGAGATTAACCCACAATTTGCACACAAGCTCCTGTTAAACTTGTAAATACTGACACCACCTGCAGGAGATGAGTGAGCCAACATTTCTATCAACGCGGGAAATCTAGAGACCTGTTTCTTTTTAGTCTCTATTTTTTCTTTCTTTTTGCCATTTCTTTGACCATTGCATGAGTGTATGCTATTCATCTATTTCATTAACAAAAGTCGATATCTGTCTCTTTAAATTTCCCTCCCTCTCTCTCTGTCTACTCACTCTCAGTCCTAACACTGCATCACATACTGTGCAGCAGATGTGGGAAGAGTGCTGCTTGTGTGAGTCTCATGTGTTACACTGAGAGGTGACCCTGGTGATTTTGTGCAAGACACATCTGGAATTGATTGACAGCTGCAGCCTCTGCCTGAGAGCAACACGACAGACAATAACACTACCGTCCTTCCCGTCCACCTCCAGCCTTCTATACCACCAACCTTTTGCTTTAACTACTGTACCATCTCAGCACTAACAAGAAACACATGTTGCAATTGAAACATTTGCAAGTATTTTAAACTCAATCTAATATGCTTTTCTATCTGGCAAGGTAAAAAATGACTTTTTTACAATCAATGTATTATAGTTTGCTAGTAACAACTTGCCTGATGATATCTGAACTGACTTAAAGCAACGCATCACATCTCATTTCCAGATACTCCTTGACCCATGTCAGATCGTGGCTCCCTTCTTCCTTTGAAGAAGTGAGTCTCTGCCTTTGTCTCAGCAGGTAAGCACAGCCTCAGTTTATGTTGACAGTCGCTGTTAAAAGGCTCTGGTGCTTGGATCACATCAAGCACAGAACATTGAGCGGACACACGGGCCGTTAGCCAGCCCACACATAATGCTCCTTTCTGCTCTAAAAAGCAGATACATGGGAAACATGACGCAGAAAGAGAGACTTCTATACGTCAGCAATGACAGAGTAAGATATTCTAATCAAATTAAAATGTATTATGTCGACAGAGGGAAAACAATGGAAGAATTGGAGCAGAGATGAGACAAAGAGAGGACGGAAGATGGATGCACTCTAAATAGGTTCAAACATCTCTCCCGGGAGTTTGGGGCGGATTGTTCAACATGGCTGCCTGATCAGTGACAAATAAGGGCCAGGGGGTCGTGATGACAAGACACTCTGAGCTCTGATCCTCTCTCATCCTCTTCTTATTGCCCTCCTTTTCTCGCCTTTCCTCTCTTCCCCTAACTCCTCTACACTCTTAAACAGCATATGGTCGTTTACTGAGTACTTTCGCAGTCCTCACAGGAAAGCACTCTCCTGGACTTAATGCAGCAGATAAAACTCTGACATCTGCTTGTCCTACTTAGCAAGACCGCACAATCTGCAGCTTTGCTCGGAACTCAGCTCCCCTCGGCCACCAATTATTTAACTATTCCTTGTTCGCTCCGAATCAGAGTATTGGACATCTATCCCTGTTCAAGTCCTTATACTACCACTGTGGTGCAATCTCCAAAATCTGCCCAAGACTGAGCTCCCTTCCTACACCAATTGACACAGTGCATCTATCATGTCATTTCTCCCTCATCTGGGATATGAGTTGGTCATCCCTTTCATAAGACCCATATTAGTAAGCAATCAAGACCCTGTCACTGTAGGACAACTGGGCATGTGAATCATGAGGACCAAGTGAAGTGTGTGAAATAGATAAGTGATACGAACGTGTACACAAATCAGTGTGCACAAATCAAATTGAGGGCCAGGTCTCGTGTTTAAAAAGATGAAGTATTTGTGTATGACGTGCAGAACACATTTAAATCTAGTCATTTTGTAGGCTTAGGCATGTAGCACACCGGTGGATGTGAAATTGTCTGCTTGTTTGTCTTGCTGAAGAACTGCTTTCTCCTGCTGTTTGCATCCTATAATGCTGTCTTCCCTCTGGGAGGGAAGGATTGCAATCAATTAATGCAGAGAGAGCTTTGGAGGTCAACACAAAAGTGTCTCACAGAGACGTTCTGCTTTTTCTGCATAGCTCTGTGTTCCTTGATACACAGCACTTATTATTAATCGTAGGAATAGTAGAAATTACTTTATGGGGCTAATTTATAATTTCTGAACTCAACCAAATAATCTGACAGAAGGAGCACAGCAGAAAGAGTGAGTAGCTGGCCGCAGACACTATTTTAATAAACTGCAGTATGTCTTATAGATATGACAGTGGCAGGCAAACAGACAGAGGATGGCATGCTGTACATCTGAAGAAAAATCCTTCAACCACTAATGCTATCAACCTAATTTGGGTCTTCTTCTAATTTCGGAACCCAGTGTTCCTGGCAACGTGATCCTGAAGCACGATGGCTGCAGCAAACAAAACAGCTATGAAAGTTTGTCGGAGTTCCAGCTCCCTGCTCTCAAAACAGCGCCCTAAAAAATAATGAGCGAACATGGGTCCAGCATCCCATGTCCCCGCAAAAACCTCCATCACCCAATTAGACTCCACAATAAACAGACAATGACGTTCCATGCAGTCATTGCAGGCATGTAAGTACTCACCAGATCCTCATTATTCAGGGTGGACCGGTTCACCAGAGCGAACGAGATGCCTGCCTTTCGAGCAGTGAGGGTCTAAGAGGAGAGGAAAGGAAAGGAAAGATGATGAAGAGGGATAAATCCTCCGTCCCATGTTTTATACAGAATCTCAATGTGTACACACAGTGGCACTCTATATAGAGTTGAACAGTTTCTGAATGGGACATAGCATTTTGTGAAAGGGAGAAAAAGCCTTAATAGATATGGGATACATAAATAAGAGAGATAAATTGTCTAAATCACAGTAAATCGATAGATCAAATGAAAAAAAAGACTCTAAGTTTCTGTAATTAATTGCAGATAGACATATAGCAAGCTTACCAAAGCCTGTGATTTTCCAGGAGTCCAGGAATAAAGAATGAAAGAAATAAAGAAATGTAATTAGACAAGGAGCGGGAGGATGAATGCTGAAAGCACAAACAGCAGAAGAATTGTATTTACTATCCATTCTGAACGCATAGGTGTCTCAACTGCCATGCAGGACTGCTGGTTAGGGCACAGAGCTCTAGAAAGGTTCAACTATTCATCAAGAGAGATTAAACAGCCGTTGCATGATTTTTTTTTATCCACTCATGCACTGGAAGTTACTTAACTGCAGTCATGCTTGGCATTTATTTTCAGTTCTCTGTTGGATGAAGCTTTGATCATATTTTCTGCTGTCTGCTCTGCACATTAGTTTGACACAAACAGAGAAACACAAGACACACACACTCACGTATGGGTGAAGCCAGATGTACTGCACAACACAGACTCACACACACTCACACTTTTAAAAAGAAAAACACACAAAAAAACACACGCATCTGCTCAGGCATTCACAAACTTACTCAAACATTAAACAGCACACGCCCATACAAACACAAACAGGTAACACACAGACGCACACAGACACACAAATGTAAATTAGCTGTTATGTTAATATCCATTGAGTTTGAATAACCAGAGATTGATAAACATTTATCCCATACTGGAGGAAGTTACGTAACAGAATGCAGACATGGACAGCTGACAATATTGGATCAGTCTTTACCACGACCCTCTTGTCTGTACAGCCCAGCTATGGTAAAGATCCATGGAAGCCATGGAGAATGTAGAAGGGAACGTGACCTCTACATGAACCGTGAGTGTTGATGTAAGTTTATCAACATGCACCAGCACTGTTGAGGTTGCTACGGGCAATATAATAAGACCCTGTGTCCAGATGTTATCTATTCATCTACAATATAGCGTTCAATGCTTTGTGAATCCATTTACAACGCTGGTTTTTTTTGGTTTATGCTTTTGCATCCCGCCATGATATGGGGGAACCCTGCTGTCCGTTCCAATCAAACGCTGTTGCTGCCCGGAAGCAATCACACAGCAAATGGGAGACATTGACAAAGGAGAGGCATGAAAGGGGACCAATTAGTTTGCTGACTACTGACTTCATCCCACGTGTAAAAGGCTTGCTCAGTGTCACTTTTACATGATTTAAAAGCCTCACACAGTTAAATCAGAAGTCAATGAAGTCTCTCTGATATATTTTTGGGTTGAGTTGTCAACATTTCAAGTTAAATGCAATTTATCGAGCAACCTGTCGAGCAACAAAAAAAAAGGAAGAAGAATGGCCAAGCATCGGCGAGGCTGAAATCTGACAACTCACTGAAAAATATCACCCATAGCTGTTATGGGTCTATGTAGGAATGGCAAATATACACGCAAAATCCAAAAAGATTTAAAAATTTAAAAACGACAACCCATACTTACCAAGACATTGTTGGTTATTAATTTCATGAGAGATATGGACAAATACAGCATCAACTCATGTTCTTCACTGTGATATAAACATTCATCAGCATCTATGTGTATGACATCAAGCTTCAGAATCATATTATTTCACAAGAAAATCTAAATCCTTTAAGAGTAGAATGCTTAAGTATTACACAGGTTGTTTGTAAATCAACTTGATTTTTAGAGTTCTGATCATTTCTTCCATCCTTTAGACTAAAATACATGAAGATGATAAACAAACATACACAAGACAGACGCACACTGTGTTCACATAAAGGACAAACGGTTATAAACAGACATGTATATACTGTTGGCATCACGACAGCATGCTGTCTCTCAGAAAGACTAACCATGTGGCACAGTGCTAAAGTGGACTCCACTGAAACAGGCCTCTCTGTGGGATATGTTATGACACATTATGCTGCAATAAAAACTAATGATGGAGCAGCACTGTGATGCAATGTCTTAAACACCCTCTCTAGGCTAATTAATCAAACCGTAGAGTTATGGCTAAGGTTAGATTAACACTCCCACAAAGCAGTGCTCGACACTAAATAGCCATAGTTTTAAGTGGTTGCTTTTATCACCCATGAACTTCTTATTGACATGCTTATTCTATCACAATTAGAGATAATGGGATTTTTGATGCTGTTTATTTTTTTTTTAACTACATAGCAGGACTACATAGCGAGGAAAGTATTTGCAATCATCCAAATCGTGTACACATGGAACAAACTTGTAATTAAATCACAAATCCAGATTGAGTTAGGAGTTTGACTTCAGCTTAAAGAATACCAAGGCTAACATCAGTCCTAGGCTTGTCCGAGGATATTGTATACTGATAAGAAACAAACTGTCATTCTCATGCACCATACCATTTTGTCAGGTACCCAGTAAAGTTATCATTGTCTTCTGCAGCTGTCCATACTCACACAGAGCAGGATTCCACCAGTGTGGGGTCACTCAGATAGTTTTGACATAAATCACACATAACCTTGTTGAGGCCGATGACTCACCAGGTCTCGGACAAGAGGCACTGTCCTCTTGCGGCGTAAATCTGGCATGCTGTCAATACCATAAAGAATACTGCCAGCCCTGGAGAAGCAGACAGATTTAAAGTGTATTAATATCATAATAATGCCATGCTGGGGGAGACACTACAGCAGTGAAAGGGGGGGGGGGGGGGGGGGGGT